GGCGCCGAGCCTGGATATTTGCTCTTAAAATTACAGTATAAAGTTGATAATTCTTACAATATTTTAAACGATAGTTTAAATAAAATGTAAGTTCATAATAATGTAAGCTATAAGTTTATTAGAAAATATTCTACATTATACCAGAATAAGAAATCTTCAGGAACTTCACTAAAATATTATCACTGTTATGAATTATAAATGAGTCAACTTTTATTTCTATAGTAAGGAATATTCTTGTCAAAGCAGTTAAAATTTTTCTTTGGCTGTGGACGAAGGAAACATGACTTAAAACAAATCCTTTATTAAACAGGTTGGACATCTAGTACATTGATAATATGTTAATTTGGGATATACATGGTTGTGACCCAGGAAAAGTAATTTACATTTTATTACATTTACAGAAATATACTTAGTATTTGATATAATAGGTCAGACATATAAAAGAGATCAATTTCCTGTTATCTTAATGCCTGTGTTATTTTTGAACCACTTACCTCTGTTTTCTTCTGAAACCTACTTTGATTTTGTTTGTTTGTTTTTGAGATAGAATCTCACTGTGTCACCCACAGTAGAATGCAATGGCATCACAGCTCACAGCAACCTCCAACTCTTGGGCTTACGTGATTTTCTTGCCTCAGCCTCCCGAGTAGCTGGGACTATAGGTGCTTGCCACAACCAACACCTGGCTATCTTTTGGTTGTAGTTGTCATTGTTGTTTGGCAGGCCTGGGCTGGTTTTGAACCTGCCAGCTCTAGTGTATGTGGCTGACACCCTATCCACTGAGCTATAGGTGCCGAGCCTGAAACCTACTTTGAATTGTACTTTTTTTCTACACTCTGAGTGTGCCACAAGCCATGTACACTAAGGATGGAGGTAGTATCCATCTCTGGTTTACTTTTCTTCTTGTATTCTTACTTATACCTTAAGAAATACAGATTTGGGCTCGAAGCCTGTGGCTCAAGCGGCTAAGGCGCCAGCCACATACACCTAAGGCCGTGGGTTTGAATCTAGCCCGGGCCCCCCAAACAACAATGATGTCTGCATCCAAAAAATAGCCAGGCATTGTGGTGGGTGCCTGTGGTCCCAGCAACTTGGGAGGTGGAGGCAGGAGACTCGCTTGAGCCCAGGAGTTGGAGGTTGCTGTGAGCTGTCATGCCACAGCACTCTACCCAGGGGAATAGCTTGAGGCTCTGTCTCAAAAAAAAAAAAGAAATACAGGTTTAAAACCAGAAAATGTTCAAATCATCATAGTAGCAACTTGTACTTAGAGAACTTAAAAAGAGATTTTTACAGTCAGGAAATCCCTGGCATTTGTCTCAACCAGCTAAGGTTGGAGCTGAATCGATGTTCCTCTGTGCTAGCTTATGTAGATTCAAGAACTTTTGCAACATGGTTTATTATGATGTTGGCTAAACTTCTAAAATGTAGAAGCACTGGGTGCAGCTTATTAACTCAGTGCCTGAAGGCAGAAACCATCATAGTAATTTGGTTATCAGTAGTGTTCCTTACCAGGATGGATCATTTTAGAGCTTTTCTTTCTAAATGTATATATAAAGTTTGTGACTCTTGGCTTTTAACTCTGGTTTCAGTGATTAGACTTCTTCCATGATGTAACTGACCATTTGTTCATATTTTTTTCTCGACCTTTCAGGCGTACAAATCCATTTGGAGAATCTGGAGGAAGTACAAAATCTGAAACTGAAGGTAAAACAGATTCGCAGTATTTTAGAACTAATTTTTTTTTTTTTTTGAGACAAGAGTTTTATTATGTCACCCTCGGTAGAGTGATAGTTAAATCTATGGCCATCACCTTCTCAGCTCACAGCAACCTCCAACTCTTGGGCTTAAGTGATTCTCTTACCTCAGCCTCCCAAGTAGCTGGGACTACAGGTACCCGCCATAATGCCCAGCTTTTTTTTGCTTGTAGTTGTCATTGCTGTTTGGCAGGCCCGGGTTGGGTTCGAACCCGCCAGCTCCCGTGTATGTGGCTGGCAACCTAGCCACTGAGCTATAGGTACCAAGCCATAGAACTACTTTTCTTTTCAGTAGTAAAGCGTGTGAAGAATTTGTCATTTACATTTGCTCTGCTACTATACTCAGTTTTAGTATTATTTTCAAAATTTTCTTGATTTTTTCATAGTATGCTTGAAACAACAGAACTTAATCTGACTTAAGATGTTGTTATTCACACAGAGTTATAGAGAATTATGGAACATACTTTTGACTCCTTAAGATTCTTAGTGCAGGCTCGGTGCCTGTGGCTCAAGTGGCTAAGGTGCCAGCCACATACACCTAAGGTGGCGGGTTCGAATCCCCAGCCCGGGCCCGCCAAACAACAATGACGGCTACAACCAAAAAAATAGCCAGGCGTTGTGGCAGGCTCCTGTGGTCCCAGCTACTTGGGAGGCTGAGACAGGAGACTCGCTTGAGCCCAGGAGTTGGAGGTTGCTGTGAGCTATGATGTTACGGCACTGTACCCAGGGGGACAGCTTGAGGCTCTGTCTCAAAAAAAAAAAAAAAAAAAAAGATTCTCAGTGCATAAGATATCCTTTAAGCTTTTCCTAACAGCTGATGCTTAACTTCTAGTACTGGAGCATAACTTTTTTTTTTCTTTTTCCTACTATCTATTTAACATCATTTCAAACTTAACAGAAAAGCAATAAGAATAGTGCAAGGAATTCTTTTTACCCATAACCACCAGTTGTTGAAGTACTACCTTTTGCTATTTGAATTTGAGACCTTAATTTTCCTATAATTTAAACACTGTAGTTAGGAGTTATTTCTAAATACCTCCTTTAGGTTGAATTTTTCATTAGAAAATGTAAAAGGAAGTAGTGTATTTTATCTTCTGGAAAATAAACATGGGATTTAAAAATGCATAATGTACCTTATTCTGTTATAGATTCTATTCTTCATCAGTTATTTATTGTCCGGTTCCTTGGTTCTATGGAGGTTAAATCAGATGACCATCCAGATGTTGTTTATGAAACAATGCGCCAAATCTTAGCAGCCCGGGCCATCCATAACATCTTTCGTATGACAGAATCACATTTATTAGTCACTTGTGACTGTTTAAAGTAAGTATTAACCTCTCCCTAAAAAAACGTTTTAAAACATTTACATAATTTTAGTCTAATTAAAGTTTGTTTTCTAATTATTATAGGTTAATTGATCCACAGACACAAGTTACAAGGCTAACGGTGAGTTCTACGTAATTTAAGCTTTGTGCATATACACATTTTACAACTTGATAATAATCCTGATCCTGTAGGTATGGTAGTATCAGTTATCATTGGTCTTTAGGCTATTATAGTTAAATCTATGGCCATCACCATAATTGAACATTCCGTGTAACTTAACACAGTTTTGCATGATATTTAGTGTTTATCCCTCAGCAAGCAGATATCATACACACTGAAGAAATCAACAATAGGAATTAAAAGCTGAACATGATTGAGAGTATTTTAAAGTTATCTATTTTGAAATAGCTGTGTATGTTTCTATTTAGTCATTTATTAAAAAAACCATTTTGTTATTGAATTTGATTTTTTAAAATGTGTTACTGACTAATAAGACAAATTAGGTATTTAATACCCTCTTGTCCTGCTTGGTAAACAAATATGACATTATTTATTCTTGGATTACTAGTTTGTTAAAAAAATTGGCTTTAATATTTATGACAGTTTTAGAATCTAGCATGTAAATTTGTCATATATAAGTGCTGCTGTTATGGTTTGAAAGTTCTTATGTTTGCTTCTGTTGTTTTCTGAGGCAGTTTCCATTACCCTATGTAGTTCTATATGCTACACACCAGGAGAATAAACGCCTTTTTGGATTTGTTCTTCGGACATCAGGAGGGAGAAATGAAAGTAATCTGTCATCGGTCTGCTATATATTTGAGTCAAACAATGAAGGGGAAAAGGTACATGGCTTTTCAAAATGTTTCTGTTAATGAAATACATAAGTGATTCTGACTATGACTTAATAAATTCTTAATAATTACACAAGTACATTCTTACATAATTCTTATTGAGATTTCTAGGAAAGATTCCCAAATTTTGCCTAGTTGCTCTGAAGAGAGCCAGGCTGCTGGGATGGCTATTCTGATTCTACAGACCCATACCTCCCTGACACTGATAGCTGGTACAGTCTTTTAACCTCATTTACTTATCATGGGAATGGAATATAGTCCCACAATCAGCCATTTTCAGATATTTTCAGTATAGAGCAGCAGCAGCGACTGCTAACTTTCTTGTTTGTAGGCCTTACTATATCAGTAATGACTCTGAGATAACAAGAAGTAGGGTACACAAAGGGAGTGAGAACCATGAAAGCTCACGGACTCTGAAGGAAACATATAAAGGCTTGATTTGGGGGCTGGAGCATTCTTAAATTGGCTTTTGGTTGAAGCAATTTATTATGACTAGTTGTGAAACTAGTCATATCAGTTATTTGAATACTTAAAATTTTTGCTTTGACCTGAGAACATGCTTTTTGTCATTTTAGATTTGTGATTCTGTTGGATTGGCAAAACAGATAGCTTTGCATGCTGAACTGGTAAGAATCTGAGATGCTTGATTTTCCAAGAACATTAACTAAAGTAGTATAATAATATAAGCTCTTTCATATGGGCAAGTAGATAAAATGATTTTGCTAAGGTTAATAGTGGATGCTATTGCTGACATAGCATTTAGAATCTGGATAAATGTTTACCATAGAATATAAACTTGTGGCTCGGCGCCTGTGGCTCAAGTGGCTAAGGCGCCAGCCACATACACCTAAGGTGGCGGGTTCGAATCCCCAGCCCGGGCCCGCCAAACAACAATGATGGCTGCAACCAAAAAATGGCCAGGCGTTGTGGCGGGCGCCTGTAGTCCCAGCTACTTGGGAGGCTGAGGCAGGAGACTCGCTTGAGCCCAGGAGTTGGAGGTTGCTGTGAGCGTGATGCCACGGTACTCTACCCAGGGGGATAGCTTGAGGCTCCGTCTCAAAAAAAAAAAAAAAAAAAGAATATAAACTTGTTAATATGCTTTTTCATACATAAATGCCAAAAATATTGAAAAAAAAATTGAGAAGGTTAACAAAAGAGGTATTGATGTCTAAATTTAAATGTCTAAATTTTAAAGTTATTTCATATTCATTAGTTTTATTTGTCTGTTCTTTAGGATCGTAGGGCATCAGAAAAACAAAAAGAAATAGAGAGAGTAAAAGAGAAGCAACAGAAAGAACTTAGTAAACAAAAACAGATTGAAAAGGTATGCAGTCTTAATGTCTGGGTCTTCTCTTTATACGGTGTTTGTGAAGACTTACTCTTTATATGGTGTTTGTGAAGACTTAATTCAGCACTATGATTTTTGGATTTGAATTTCCAAGTGAAGGGCTGTTTCTGCTTGCTCAGCTACTCTGTAACCAGATGATTCATAGCATAGTAGAAAAGGGTAACATCTGTTTTCTGATAGGATGTTTACATTATAGTTATATTGACATGTCATATGAGTTATTGTTTAGCAAACATACCAGAATTTTTATATACCACTGAGGGCTGTCTCTGACACAGCTGTTCTTTTGAGAGGTTACGCACATTTAACTGCTTTTGCTAAAAGCCATTTTGCCCTCTAGAGGCCAAACATACTTTTTTCCCCAGTATTATATACAGGCTGGACATAAAGTCCCTGTGCAATTTAAAATAGTTTAATAGGCTCGTCGCCTGTGGCTCAAGTGGCTAAGGTGCCAGCCACATACACCTAATTGGTGGGTTCAAATCCAGCCCAGGCCCGCCAAACAATAATGACGACTGCAACCAAAAAAAATAGCCAGGTGGTGTGGCAGGCGCCTGTGGTCCCAGCTACTTGGGAGGCTGAGGCAGGAGACTCGCTTGAGCCCAGGAGTTGGAGGGTGCTGTGAGCTGTGATGCCAGGGCACTCTACCCAGGGGGACAGCTTGAGGCTCTGTCTCAAAAAAAAAATAGTTTAATATAGTAAATTACACATGAACTTTATGAACACCCTGTATAATACAATATATTATGTAATTTTATTATTTAAATATAGTGTCAATCATATACTCACATGTGATAATAGAAGTAAATATATTAATGTTGCAGAAGTGTCAAATCATTACCATCCAATAGGATAATTTTCTGCTACATGAATTTCAGAGCACAACCTGGAGAATGCATTTGATAGGTGGATGATCCGTGAAGAGATTTAAGAGTCCATTATAGGTTGTGGCATTGACAGTAGGAAATTAAAAGAGAAGACAATTGTGGGATCTTACTTAGAACAACTCAGTAATAATTGGCAATGGATTGCATATGTGGACAAAGAAGAGAGAAGTGGCAAAGAGGACACTGACGTTAGGCCAGTGTACACTGAGGGAAGGTGACACCTGGTTTACCAAGATGAACTGGACAGATGGGAAAGAGCCCTGAGATGCAGAGTGCAGGGGATGTGGTGATCCCTTATGAGGCTTTTACTGTATTATATAGAGTTGATGATGGCCTGAATTTGGTTGTTCACCATAAGAAAACGAGGAAAACACTTAAGAGATTTTAGTTTGAATATTGGCTTTTATAGGATTTCTAGAATGGCCCCAGAGTTCACTTTGGTGTCACATTGGTTGAGTGTGGACTTTGTTTTCATCAAGTTGTCAAAATTATGAATATGTATTTGTGCAGAAGGTTTGAAGTGGCTCTCAAGTATGTGTTTTAACTGCATAGTTTTCCATTTGACTGCTTACAGTTAATTTCTTTTCTGTCTTTTCCCCTAGGACTTGGAAGAACAAAGCCGGTTGATAGCTGCTTCCAATAGACCAAACCAAGCTAGTAGTGAGGGGCAGTTTGTTGTCCTTAGCAGTAGCCAGTCAGAAGAGAGTGATTTGGGAGAAGAAGGAAAGAAGAGAGAATCAGAAGCATAAACTTACCTTTGATTTTCAATTAATATTCCCCCCTCCCCCCATGGAATGTGACAATTTCTGTGGTGAAATGGCACAAGGTAACAACTATGTTGAAATATCAAGGAGGAGACAGACTAAGCTTTATATTTGCTTGTTTTAGCTTCATTTAAAAAATAAGATTGAACTTGATGACTTAGGTTTGCATTGCTTTTTTTTTCCCCTTGAACATAACATACTATACATTAACATTAAACTCCATGTGTCTGAAGGAAACCTGCTCATCTCCACAGTAGATTGTTGAGGAGTTACATTTGCTAAAGCATTTTTTCTTCAAACTGTGACCTTTTTATCTTGCTTTGTAATTGGCTGTGATCATAAGAAATTATTTCTTCTTTAGGCTCAGATGTTCATGGATGTGGTCTCTCTCTTTCATTGAATGTTTTGCTGGCAATGAGGAAGTATTCAGCTGACTAAGTTTAAAACCCTTTATATAGAGAATTCTACAAGTTTGCAGATATTTTAACAATATTCAATGTACAATAGAACTTTTATAAAAATAATTAGAACAGATTTTGCACTTAAGGTTTCAAATTGTGGCAGGTGGTACTGTTGATTTCAGGGCACTTTCTTAGCTTGTTCTCATTTCTCTGATGTATTACACCTGATGATAGTGGGCAAGAAGCTTAAGTGTCTTCAGTTCAAAATTCAAACAGCTTTGGCATTTTATTATCACACTCTTAGTTCTCAGGTTGGGACTTCAATTATTGCTGCAGAGCAGTAATGGTTAAAAATAAGATTTTGAATTTATTAAGAGATTTTTGTTGTTCAAATACATTTTAGATTAGCATTGATGTGTAAGGATATTGTTACAGGATGATACATTGTATTTTCTGCATTATGTGAAATAGTTTTTATTAAAAATCAAGTGACATTTCAAAAGAAATTCTATAACAATTATGTTTCATGCTTAAAGTAAAAATTCTCAGAGTTTAGTTTAGCAAATGTAATCTTTTAAATTTCAGACAGATATTCCTAGTATTTTCATAATTCCATGTTTTGATAATGTACTGAATCACCACTTTATATTCGCAAAGTCAAATACCTAATGTATGAAAATAGAGTAATTTGCACTAATTATTCTAAGTACTTTTAACTCTTCAAATGAATAACAGGTCCAGTTCCATGAAAGATTGAAAAGAAACTGAATGCCTGGTACGATACAGAAGAAGTTAACCAAGAAAGCATTTTAGCTTGGTGCCAAGGTTAAAATGATATTGCTCTATCTTCTGTGTCAAACCTTGATTTCTTTTTTTTATTGCATTTTTAACATTGCTTATAGAAATTACATTCATGTGTTTCACATGAAAAAGTATACATATATACAAGCTAAATATATTTAGTAAAGTATTTTACATAGTCATACGTTTATAAATCTTCAAGAGGTTAGCCACTAAGACTAATTTCACAAGGGAAGCTTTGACACACATTTTTTTCTTCTTAGTTCTGAGTTAGAAGTGGCCTGTGTTTTAGTTCTCAAAACATAACTCATCTGTTTCACACTGTGTATGTATATTGTTTTCTGTTGGAATGGGATAGATAATTATATATAGGATCATGATATTCTTTTTAATCCATATGCCAAATGGAGATAATGATTATTTAATACTCTTTGATGCCTTATGTTACCAAAACATATAGTAAACAAGTATAAATTTATGGATTACTTTATTTTGTGCTTACCAAAGGGAATGCTTTCACAAATGCATTCCTTTTGTTGAAGTTGGAATTTCTTTTGTTCAACTCTTAGTCATGGGAGGTCCTGCTTTTAAGACCTTTTTGAGATTAGTAAGCTTTCTGTTTCACTAAGTCTTTTGTGAATACAAGTTGTCACCTCACTTAGTTCAGATAAAATCTGTTGCCCTATAAGGAAGGTGGTCATCATTAGGAGGCATTTTACTGATGCTTTGCCTGGTAGCGAAGTGCTGCCGTTTTTTAGCACTCTGGGTCAACGTGTAGGCTTAAAGCTAAGGGTACTGGCAGACTTAGGGATGCGGGACAGACCTGTAGTTGTTTTAAGTCATGTTTCCACAGGAATTTCTAAAATAACACATTCATGTCTGTAGGTCAGATCAAAATGCATTCCAATGCCAAATAGAAGTCAGAAGTGGAGTTAACAATTTTAGATGATTCAACTTCTGTTCTATTGCTATCATACCATATGAATTATTCCATTGATGTAGATACTTAATTATCAACTTTAATAAGCTCTTTCTGTTATTAAACCTGTCCATAGCTTTCTGCCTGATGTTATAGCTGATCTTACTGTTATCCTCCTTTGAAATTTCTTCTAGCTCTGGGATGTTTCAATGGTGATTGGGTTAGATTTTGGGATATCTTTATTCAAATTCAGATTTACACTTAACGGTTTTTAGAAATTAACAAAAAACATTTTTAAAAGAGAAGAAATAAGCCTACCTAATTCTGCTATGCATTCTGCTACCTATTGAATAGTACTTTTATAACTATGGTAATGAAGTCAGTCATTTCATTAGGAAAACCATTATTCTTTTTCCCTTAAAAACTTTTGAAAACTTGCTAATCAGAGACTGAAACTGTTACCTTGTGAACAGAGTCCCCAAAGCTAGTCTAGTTTTTGCCACATCTACAATGATTACTTTGTGTTTCATTTCCAAAGAGTCCTCAGGCTCCACAATGTAGGGGTGGTACATGTGTTTTCCTTATACTTGGGAAAAGAACAATAGATGTGCATCCTAGGTACCATAAAATCTTACATGTTAAAGGTATATGGGTTAATTTTGAGTTGTATGTATCTAGGCTCCCCTAGTATTTAAAATTAACTAGTATTTAAAATTTGAATCTTGGGCTGGGCACAGTGGCTCACACCTGTAATCCTAGCATGCTGGGAGGCCAAGGCTGTGGGATTGCCTAAGCAAAACCAGCCTGAGCAAGAACAAGACCCCAGGCTCGGCGCCTATAGCTCAACCGGCTAAGGCGCCAGCCAC